TTTTTAAAGGTGAATAAATTACGGACTTTTGAATTGACAGTTTCAGATCGCGGTCATTCAAAATCATTGTCGTTCCTATTTTTGTTTAAAACGTATTATACACGTGGTACATCACCAACAAAAATTACAATAACAAATTCACCATTTAATTTAATACGCTTGTGTAATCTGACAGAAAATTAACAAGTCTAAATATTAATGATAATCGGGTTAATTTGAACTTCGAACGCCACAGTTCGTCCCGTGGCCTTGAATGCTGCAAAACAATTAATAAAGACATTGTCAGAAACGGAATTATAAAATTTAACTTTATTTTGAATGTGATGAAATTCGTAATAACAGTATCATTTAATTTATACAATAACTAACCCGAGACGGCCGCAGAAGCTTACTATTATTATCATCGATGTCAACAATCACTTTAAATAAATCAACCAAGAGAAACAAGGACGATAAACCTAATGAAGGAAAAAACAGATGATATTTATTTATTCGGCGATAAATTGTGAAGTCACCAATAGAGATAACCTTGAAGTTATTTGGGTTATGTTTATATGCGGGCATCTATAAATCACAGGTTGTTTGTTATAGGTGTTATGATATTTTTTATTTGATTTTGCGTCATGTTTGAATATGTGTGATTGGCTGATCTGAGAGCTACCCAATCAGCCAATTGGCAAGAAACAGCTCAGAACAGAGAGCAGTGGCGTCTTTCGGAGGCCAAGATCTTCTTTGGGTCGCTGAGCCAGCCAAGAAAGTTACCCAGTGGTTGAAATTCCACAAGCTTATACATATTTCTCGGAACACCTCCATGCAATCTGACATTTTCACATTTATTGGAGAAAGATGACTTTAATGACTCCGTGGCACAGTCTGCGCCGGGGGTCGTGGGTTCGATTCCCACACGGGACAACTATTTGTGCGACCTACATATGATAGATGTTTCGCATCTGGATGTTTGTCCTTGTGAAATTTATGTTTGTAAAACGTCCTTAACAACACAGGATAATGTTATCCCAAAGTGAGGGCCATGTTTTTAGGTGGGTGTATCTCATCATCTTTCTAAGTTATTGACGATGGTTAAATTTCTAAAGAGCACAGCGAGTACACTCGATAATGACAATCTGGGCCGTTGAGATGCAGCAAGTGAACAAGTTCTACGGCAAAAAATGGTATTGAAGAGACTATGGTCGAATATCAAAAAAAATTAAATAATAATATTGTAATCAAGATTAAGGTACGAATATACTTTAATGGCGAATATTGATAATTTACAACTACAATAATTTCATTCCTATGTATTTTTGTACATTTTCGATAAATAATTATACGTATAATCATAACTAATTCTTAGGAACCTGTATTGACGCGACTTGGTACACTGGTACAATTACTACAGTAACTAGCATAAACCCAAGTTTTTACATAATTAACCCGTTTTTATTTTTAAAGAATTTATAAATTAGACAATATCATACTCGAACATCTATTGCGAATAAATAACAAAGACTTGCTTTTGTTGCTTTTTGTAATCGTTTTGTGGGTTCCGTATCCAAAGGGTAAAACGTGGCCCTATTACTAAGACTCCGTTATCTGTCTGTCTGTCAGTCTGTCCGTCTGTCACCAGGCTGAACCATGATAGTGAGACAATTGCAATTTTAAACTGAATAAAATACAAATTAATAATTAAATCAAATAAAAATTATTTTGAATTTATATGATTATATGTTATTTTAATGTAACCCAAATTCACTCATTCATTAATTCATTCAAAATTAAAAATAGTTTTATTCACAGGATCGAACTATAAATGACGGAAATAAGACAGAATCAGTTTATAGGCAGGTTGCGGAAGCATATATTTGCATGCATATAATTGCGTATTTATGTGGGGCTATTAAAATGTGACGTGCGAAAAGTAATCGCGTTTCAGATTAGGATGCAACACTCGTCGCGAATGCTACCATGATAGTTATAGATTATGTAGAGGCATCAATTAGTGTGTGTGATTTTTTGTTTGAGTCGCGATAAAGGAATGTTTTTTCATTCTATTTCAGGATCAGTTTCCATTCTGATATTTTAATGGTACTAATAAGTTCGCTATATTAGTGTGAATAGAGACAAACGAGTAGGTTAAGGTTAGAATAGAGACGTGTGCAGACGGCCGACCAGCGTATGACCATGAGCAGATCACTACATAATATAAAACGTACTCGTCCCGCTGTCTGTTTGTCCCTATGTATGCTTACATCTTTAAAACTACGCATTGGATCTTGATGCGGTTTTCTTTATTGGATAAAGTGATTCCAGGTTTATATGTATAATACATTGCACCCGTGCGAAGCCGGGGCGGGTGGCTAGTAGTATATAAAAGATTTATTGCATTCATCGAATTGTTCAAAACAGATACATTATGTAGTAAAGTAATTATTTATAATTTGACTGGTTCTGCGAAGTTACTTAGCCGATGGCAGCTACGCCGCGGGTCGCCGGTTCGACTTCCAACCGGTGAAATATTTATGTGACCCACAGACATTTGTTCTAAATCAGGTAATTAGTCCACATTAATTTTCCTTAACAAAGGACAATTTTTATTACAAAATGCCAGGAGTTCCACTTAGGTGTACCCATGAAATTGCTCCAAGAATAACGCACCATCTCCCCGCGATCTGTTAACCAATTCATATGGAGAAAAATTAATAAAAAGCTATTTCGGGACATAATTTTACAAATGTTATCTCATCTAAAAATAAGCAAAGCTTGCACTATGGATACTAGGTAACTGAAAAGCCTACTTAAGATTTTTTTTCTGTTAATATGTCTTTGTAATAAATACACATTATAGAATCAGACACTAGAAATGCTTTATGTTCATCTTTTAATACTTTTCCATTAATGAGGATCGAACCCACACCATCCCGGGGAAGAGACAGGTTCACCTTCCACTTCGTCGTCGTCAAAAAAAGAATTCAAGAAAAAAGGATTCAATCACGGAATTATACAGTGGTTTCATATAAATGAACCTAATTTTTACGGATTTATCCCATTTATTTTTAATTATAATTCCCGACGAGGAGGAGGAGTTCCGCATATTCTCTTCTTCCACTTATTCGCAAAATTTAAAGTTTGTGTAAAAATCGTGCATATTATGCTTAGTCTTTATTGATTCACGTTTCAGCTTTCAGTCCGAAGCCTATTAGAGCTTCGTTGAACGCTGAGCTTGTGAAACAGCTGAACTAGAGGTTCAGATAATTTCCTTACTAATGTTACACAGGCGAAAATTTCTTGGTTTGTACTTTCATGCTGCACCGAAACAGGGGATCAACTTCGATCGTAAACTTGCAAGAAATCCCATAACTTAATGCAAATCATTCAATTTTTAGACGGGCATTTCTGTCATTGTGACATTATTAAGTCGCCGGGCCGTACCAAATTTGGCGACCTGCCACTATCAATTGTAGTAATATCGATATTGGGGACACTAATTATCTGTTCTCTGGCAGAAATTTGTTTAAAACACGACAAAATTAAGCGAATACTTGCGGATACTTACTGTCTATGAGGTGGTGAATCGTCATCACCTCTATTAAAAAATTAAAAACCATTCCACTTTCTAAACCCATTAATTGTGCAATCATTAATTCACACGAGCGGTGTGCAAATTACAAAAATATTCCGGCTTTAATCGCATTATATCAAAGCGAAACGTTATACGAGTATATTTTGCAACGATTTGCATTTTAACCATTAAACGTCGGTTTTATAGATTCAAAAAGTATCACTAAATTGAGATTTTTTTAAACATTTTAATAATCTGAAGTGGTAATGCAAGTGCATCGAAATCAAAACTTTTATCTTAGTCTATTGTATTGTCTCGTACTTTGGTAGAGAGGCAGTGAGAGTTGTCTCAACAGCTTTTTAAATTATTTTTTTTTATGTTAAAAGGAGGAGCAGGCGGTTAACCTGATTTATGATTCTTAGGCTGGGTTTCTGTGAGGCCTTGATACTTCTCTGAACGAGTCTGGCCATTCGCATAACACAGAAGCTGCTGCGTGAGCCTACCACATTCAAAAACTTCCTTTGCTGAGTATTGGTTCAAAGAGAGGAGTGATTGCCAAATTTCATATTATGTTTGTCAAATATACGAAACGACTGGCTGCAGAAAACTTAACAACGGCAGCTGGCATTTTTATATCAGACTTAATATAAATAATAACTACATTTCGAAATCAAACAGGCTATGTACAATTCGGACAAAAGTCAATAACCCACCCAGTTTTCGTGGCATTGTTTCGTTAACTTACATTACGGCGACGCTTTAGTCGTCAAGCAACTTCTTTGTCCCCGACGCGGGGAGGTCGCAACGTAGGCGTCTATAACGGGAAAATACAAATCTCAAATAATACCGATACACAAATGCGTTCGCATATTTATGGTCTGCTTACGGACGGCGCTACGGTGTGCGCATGCTAATGTTGATTGAAGCCGTGATCTGGACGATCGATGGGGCATAAATGAACGGATAGATGAAAAAAAAACACTCATGTATAACATTAAATCGAGGCCGGACCGGTCGCACGTGCTTGGTATTTCGGCGATCGTCATCTTTGTCTGCAGCAGAATATCATGGGCCCATGATCAGCTAAAGAGGCAACACATCGTCTGAGTCTATGTCCTAGTGCTTCCACTAGTGCATTTTTTAGTAAGAAACGCGTGTGTTGTTTATTTTACATATCGAAAACATCAAACGCACACTGTTGGCGAAATAAACACTGGTGGCGAAATAAAAGAAAAAGATTAGGCGCATAAGAATATTTCTCGATTACAATATTAACGCAGTGCAACGACGTCGGGCGTTATCTTAGCGAACGTGCCCGCGTCGCGGTCTTGCCATCCCGGGCGATAAGATGGGATGACATCATGCACTTTCTCGGCACCGTCGGAGACAGGTGTCCCTCGGTGTCGAAACAGAGCGCGCTCGATTCGACACCGAGACGCTAGACGCAGTCCGCTCCGGCGCACCGTGGCGCGCGCACCACCATCTTCTCCACGCCCCAGTCTCCGGTCGGTTCAGTGGCAGTGGTGCGGTGCAGTGCCTCCGAGGAGCATGTGGACGTGCTCGTGAATGCGCCGCGGGATGAAATGAAGGGCGGGGCCGCGGCTCCCCCGAGCGGATTGCCGGTGCTGCTGAGCAGGATACTCCTGCGCTGGATCTTCACAAAAGCCGACCTTGTCTTCTTCATCTACCGGTTGGATATTTTTTGATACGATTGTGCGGTGTGCAAGGTACTCGTACATGGCATGCGTTTATTTGGCACTTTGATCTGGTAAATAGGTGCAATGCATTATCTACCTTAAAAAGGTGTGTGTTTGTGTTGTGTGTGTACTTATATATGCACGTAAGAAGTTATACTTCTTTAGCGGAACAAAAGAAAAATATCTAAAAAAATTATCCCGTGTATCCTTCGTTTGTGACAAAAAGACTTTAAATGCGGTTGATAACGGTTATTTTATTTGGAATTATAGGTGAATGTCAAAACTTGTTATTGGTTGCCGTGGTAACACCATAAAGTTTGTGTTGCTTTCAGGTATCGTGCATCGTAAAAATTCAAAAACTTTACGAAAAACTTATTGATAAACAATATACTAGATCGACAGATGTACCAGCTTTGATTGGTAAGGGTGGTGAATGTTCAACAGCGCGCTAAAAAAAGGTAGAATAACTTCAAGGATAGAATAACTTAACCAATATTTAAAATTAATCACTGCTCTTCAGGTAGATGTTAAATTCTTAACGGACGATTACTCTATAAAGATCGATAAAAACGGACGCCACGAATACTTTTGCGTTAGAAATGTAGATTTTAAACAATATCGGTTAACAAATTGATGTTTAATATTGTATTTGAATTACACAATATGAAAGTATACATTTAATTTGGCTGCATTACTTAACGCCGAATTAATCCATTAAAAAAATCATGTCCACGGAAATTACTCAATAAAATTTTATTTTGGTCGATTTAGAATGTTGGCGAATCATTTTTTAAACCTGTTCGCAATTTAATTGTAGCTTGTCTGTTTTAATAATATTGAGTAAAGTCGGCAGTGAATATAAACTAAAATCTGCCCGACCCGTTCTACATCCTGAAGTGAGCGGTTACATACAAACGGGCCGATTCAATTTCAATATTAATGTATGAAGTGGATTTCGTTAATATTATGACCCAATCACCGTACCATACATTATTTACTTGCTTATTCACGGATCGTTTTGCATGACACGCTTTAACTCTTAAAAAACGTATTATATTTTAACTCAAATTATAGCATAAGATAGAATATCAATGAATTTATACATACCTAATTTTAAAAATTAGATATATTATTTCTCGTTAACGCCATTGCTAAGCTATTGACTTCGGCGTGGGGGGTCGTCGGCTCGATTCTCACAAGTATTTTTGTCACTCAGATAATTGTTCCGGATCTGGATGTTTGTTTCCCAAGGAGGTGAGGTGTCAATCAGGCGGCCGGTCACATAGCCAGAACCGCTTACAACATTCTCGACCTTAATTTAATTAATTTAATTTAATAATTTTTGGAAAAGTTATTCGCTGCTGTGGCTATTGTACCCACGTCTTCCGGATTCGCGCCCAAAAGGTTTAACTACTAAGCTAAACGGTTGTTTTCCACACCGAAGAAAATCATCAACATCTTTTATCTACATTGCTTTTTCGCATTTTAAGTAATGCTTCGTGCATCCATTATTATATTATCTTTTACGTCAAAAAAACAATTTCGAATATCGTTTTACAAAGATATTTCGAACGAGAGATGTCACTATTGCTATTAGAAAAGATTACGTGCAGAGATTAGCACTATAAAAATTTAAATGAATGAAATGTACATTGTTGCAAATTATTCGTTTTTTTTTTTCATAATAAATATTCAGATTTTGAATATTAAAAAGCGTAGAGTAATGTACAGAATACAATTTGCTGTAGGTTTTATCAATCCTATAATACTACTTAATATAACAAGAACAAGAAATTCGGATGTAATAAAAAGGAAGTCTCATGAAAGAAACCGAAACTAGTTTTGTTTTTCAAACATAGTTACGAGAACTACGTTTACAAAGTAACATTCACTTCAGATGACAAGAATAAGTCAAGATAATTTTTTTTTAATATTTCACAGACTAATTAATTGGTCGAAATTCGCAATTGCGCGAAACTTTGTACAGTCCGTTTGAACGGGTTCTATGCGAACGCCAATTAACCGGTTTACAAAAAGAGACCGCGAAAAAAAAGAAAGAAAGAAAGTTACTCTAAATATAAATCGAAAGACGTCTAGGAAGGCGAGAGTTGTATGAACATCATATCATTAAACTAGTAATATTATAATATCTTTATACTAACTGGCCTGGCAAATGTTGTTTTGCCATATAAGTTATTTCTAGGGAATTGATGAATCTGAACATGTAGAAAAATAATTTTCTGAACGCACACATAAAATGATTGACAGGTAGGAACAGTTTGTATGGGAAAATAAAATTGTTTCTATTTCGATTTTATTATCGTTTAATCCTTTACTAGTCTGCCACAAATATTTAAAAAATAAAATTAGCCAAATCGGTCCAGCCGTTCTCGAGTTTTAACGAGACTAACGAACAGCAATCCATTTTTATATATAAGAAGATAATTCTTCCGCGCGTGGGAATGTCACTGAACGGGTTGGACCGATTTTAATGAAAGTTTTTGTGTCTTCAGGTCGATTCGAGAATGGCTTAGATTCACATTACAGCCCACAACAATTTGCTTTTTAATTTTTTATTTATAAGTTACCGGATTTTAGTCGTGCGTAAAGGACGTCTGTCGGCTCCGCTAGTAATATTTTTTTTAGCTAGTAATAATATAAATGTCTTTTAAATGTCATCATTACAAATAATTATATTTATATCGTATAAACCCAGCAAGATATCAAAAATTACGACTATACACTAAAATTTTAGTTGCAATTATTTTTTTAAACTCCGTTGAGCCGTTTCCGAGCTTTTCAAGGCAAACAGAAGCATCACCTTATTGCTATTAATCCGAGTTTTGCTATAGAGTGGAGCTTGACTGCCCCTTTATAGGGTTCCGTACCCAAAGGGTAAGACGGGACCCTATTAGGTACTAAGATTCCGCTGTCTGTCTTTCAGTCTGTCACCAGGCTGTATCTCATGAACGGTGGTAATTAGGCAGTTGAAATTTTCACAGATGATGTATTTCTGTTGCAGCTATAAGAACAAATAAACCGCAATAAAACACAGAATAAATGAATATTTAAGTAGGGTTCCGATACAACAGGCATGTTTTTGATGCCGTACAGATAATGGTAAAACTATTCATGCGCCAGTCCGACTCGCACTTGGGCGGATTTTTATTAAAAAAAAATTAAATTAAAGTAATAGCTGTGGTACATATAAATAGTCTTTATATGTCCCACAGCTGGGCAAAGGCCTCCTCTGTACAGGAAGTATTAGGGCATAGTCCACCACGCGACCCCCCTGTGGATCGGCGGACTTCACATATTTTCGAACATTGTTTTTTATTATTATCTCGAAAATATGCTGGTTTCCCTACAATGTTTTCCTTCACCGTTAAGCATGTGTTAAGGCACCACTTAAAATTAACTTCATTGGCGCTGAAACCGGAGATTAGACTCTGGTTGCTCGAGTATCATCACTGCATAGTATAAAACAAAGTTGTCCCTATGTATGCTTAGATCTTTGAAACTACGCAACGGATTTGATGCGGTTTTTTTTTTACTAGATAGAGTGATTCAACAGGATGGTTTATATTTATATATAAATACATTAAACCCGTGCGAAGCCTGGGCGGGTGGCTTGTATTGAATAAATATTAAAATCGAGCGCCCGGACAATGAGCTATGAGGGCTCTGTGATGCCGGACCCACCAGGGCTCCCGACTGAATTAGAATAATTTTATATTTGTGCTTTTTTAATAATTCTAGCCGTACTTATTAGGTAATTTACCGTAGGTAATTTTAAACTACTTAATAGTAATTTTACACTAAAATCTTTAAAATTTATATATATCATTAATGTTCATTATATAAGGTTCATATAAGGTAATTAGGTATGTATTTGACGACAATTTGGCTCTGTCTCTTTCGCCAGAGGGTGTGGGCTCGATCCCCACTACTGGAAAAAATATTGTGTGATGAACATAATGTTTTTTTCCGTGTCTCGGTGCATATATATTCATATATTTACAAAAGAAAAGTATGTTTCAGTAGGTTTATCCGTTACTAGACCCATAGAACAAGCGTTGCTTAAATTTGGGACTAGAAAAGTTGTGTAAAAATGTTTACTGAAATATTTATATAAATATTTAAGAATATGGCGTACTAAGAACATGGCATTCTGACTGAATACGACCGAATACGACGAAATTTTACTGACCCATGCGAATTGTTTACACAGTATCAGAATCTATTACACCATGGTTATAATAGAATAAAAACAAATAGTCAGGTTTTTCAGTTATGTGCGATTTCTTGCCCTGGAGAAGGGAGACAAAAAGTGTAGTTCTTAGCATAATAAGCAACGCAGAAGAGAAGTCACTGATATCAGCTAGATTGTGCATAAAAAGAATGATATATCAATTTATAGATATTTTAGTTCATAGAAATTTGTCATCGAAGGCCATAAAATTCTTTACAAATGATTTAATACATAAGCGCGGAACTTGTAAGTAAATACGTAACATTTTTTGAGAAAGTAACTCCAAACATATTAGTTAAATGAAAAGATTTTCTAGAATTCTAGACAATTCTGTAATTAAGTATCTTGTCGAATATTTCTTACCCGAATGCGTAATAAATAAAATACACGCGTCCGTTATATACTAATTACTAATTACAGGCGTCATAGCTCGATGATCTTTTTGCCCCGAGTTCTTCCAAAGGCCATTTCATTAGACAGTTTTTACTGTATATAATAAAATCTTTTATTTCGCCTTTAGAAACAAAGTCAAAACAAAGTATTCGATTTGGCTCTGTTATTGTCCAATATTTATCAAACTATACACCTAAACCTCGAAAAAGAAAAATTCCTCATGAATTACTTCGTCCATTGATGAAAACCGTATGACAACGGCCCACGTGGGTAAGACCACGCCTGTGGTCATACATGCGTTACCAATTCGTGGAGGAATTGTTACCAATAGGACCATAGCACCGAAGGAATGACCATTTTAATCGTTCGGTGGGGGCGTTATTAGTAGCTAATAATCATGGTCATAATAATAATAATTATAGTGAGAAAAATATTCTGGACACTCCGAGGCTTTAAATACTTATGGATGAATTATAATAAGCATGTACATGCAATAAATATTTTTGTATTTTGTAATAATTACTACTAGGCCCAGGCCTCCTTACTATTGTATAATGTAAAATTTAAACTATTTCATATATTTATGACGTACTACCTATGGCCTTCTAACAGAAAATAATAATATACATAGTCAATAATCAATTAAAGTGGTGTCAAAATAATAAACTGATCAATGAAAAGCATTTATTTTGATGAGGGGTAAATCTAAATATCGGTGTTTTAATAATGTCTTCAAAATTACAATATAGGTCATTTCACTGTCTTTCATATAAAACGGCTACTTTTAGTAAATAGCGAGGAAGTTGTGGTGTCTGAATCATCAATTTTAACAAAGAATTCAGGAAAATGTTACGGTGTTGCCACAAAAAAAAAACATAAAGTAATATCACTTATACAACGATGAAGAGAATAGCCTCATGAGAACAATTTATGTTTGATGATAATAATTAAGTATATATGTACATATCTTTCTCAGTCTCCTGTGGTGCGCATTTCAAACCCGGTCATCGATGAATAGCAGCGTGGATTTCTTCGAGAGTCTCATAGACGAGGACGGTCGCTTCGCCGAACTGAATTGTCAAGAGCCGAGTCACCGGAGTCAACGTGCTCGCGCAACGCGACCTTTGATTCAAGGTACGTACGAGAACAATGATTTACAACACAAATTATTACAGGCGAATCATTAAAACAAAAACTAAATAAATCGATGAGATTTTGCGACTCATAAAATAGAACGCACAGAAGTTACGGCATTTTATTTTAAATAATCCAATTATTTTTCAGCGCATTTAATAAAGAAGGATGTGTTCGAACATTTCGACACTCTATCTAGTGGGGGTCGTCCAATATTGTGATGGCCAATACGAGACTAGTTCTCGAGAACCTTTCCTCTCCATCATTTATCGGTTCTACGAGCTATATGGCTGTCCCATTGCCAATTCAGCTAACTAATCTTCTGAGCTATGTCTATCACGTAGAGAAATACTGAGCATAGCACGCTCTCCCTTCCTCATACGGCCAGAAGTGAAAGACAACGTCTCGGTTCCGTAGATCACTGGCAACACGCATTGATTGAAGTCAGTCTTTAAACATTGATCTATATTTGAGAAGATGTGTCGAAGTTCCCCGAATGTCGCGGATCCGAGTTGGATTTGCCGACTGATTTTTTATATAGATGATATTTTCAATATAAACCGATTAATATGTTGAAAAATATTTTTATCCAAATATGGTTAAAAACAATCAATACAAACGATAGTTCATTTATCCGGAACATTGGAAAGGCAAATAGTTTTAAACCTAGTCAGTTTCTATATACTGCTTTTATTATGCATTAAAAAAAACAATACGTTGTGTGGTACGAATGAAGGTTATTAATATTCAGTATTACAATGTTTAACGTAAGCAAGTAACGTTTTCTAACTAAGCATACTATGTTACCTGAACTAAAGACACAATGATTGCTAAATAAAAAATATTTCAATAAGCGAACGTGATAAACGTGAACAGAACTGTTGTGGGTAACTAACAACGTTTGTTTTTGTGGCAGTCTCGGTTACGGCTGGAAAGACCAGTACCTAAATAATAATACAATACTAATTTCGAACAAAAATAGGTCAATAGCCTTTCAATCGTGCCTAACAATGTGCATATTAGTAAATTTGTATTATTAATTGGAAGTTTATAAATAAATTATATGATAATAATAATACGGGTATCTAGTACTATCGGGTAGGTAGTATCTAATTTCTAATATATAAAATTCTCGTGTCACGGTGTTTGTAATTGAACTCCTCCGAAACGGCTCGTTCGATTTTCCTGAAACTTTGTGTGCATATCGGCCAAGAAGATCGGTGAAGAATCGGACAATATCTATTTTTCATTCCCCTAAATGTTAAGGGTGTTCCACCCCAAACATTTTTTTCTACCCAACAAATAATTTATATGGCAAAAAACGAATTTATACGAATTTCAGGAAAATTTTACGAAAAAGATATTAAAACCAAAGTAAAATAACATGTCTGAAGTAACGACGAAAAACAGAGTTCTGGAAATTGGACCACGCGTAGAAAATTCTTTACTCGTTCCCAGCAATTTTTTTAGATAATTCCACAACCAGGAAGTAAAATAAGAAAAAAAGCCTGCTCCGTCATTAACGCCGATGAACTCATGATGTAGTACAACCTATACTACAAAAACAATTTAAACCTAAACATTTTTGAAATTAATAGCTTTTCTCCATTTTTTGTCAAATTATGAAATAATACAAATAAATCGTAAATTATAATTCATCTTTCTTTTAATCAAATAAAATCTCACACAATTATAAAACAGCAAGAATATCAAATTTTCTTATTGATTGCATGTTTCCAAACGTTTTGTAGTTTTCTACTCATGCTCAATACATTCATTACCGTTGTGTCCAAGTCTATTGATTTTGTAGTAGATTCACTGATTTTAATAGAGAACCCTCTTAATTCCTGTTAATTCTACTTAATTTAGGAATAAGTAAGGAAGGTATAAATGTTGAAACGCGATATTTACTATATTTTATCATTTTAGAGTCCAAAATTCAATATTTAAATTAAATTAATAATTAACATTTAACAATTACATTAAATATATTTTTAATCGAGGAAAACATATTTTTGATAACATGACGAAGTTAAAAAAGTAAGTATTCAAATAGAAACGCAAAATTTCTCAAGAAATTAAAGAAAATCACTAAAGTAACATTAGATTAGTAACATAATAAAAACATATATTTAAAAGTATTTTTTTCAACATTACCTCAGTATTACTAGAAATCTTTCTGAATAAAACTATAGAATTAAAAAAAAATAACCTGGCAGCACTGTACACTACTCGTCCGATAACTGACTTATGTACCCCCGGAACGACTACTAGCGACCTCGAAAACAAAATGGCTGACTTACGTCACTGAGACATTCTCTATTTAATTCAATGTTTATACTAAAATTAAAATATTGAGTACGTTTAAACACTATGTACAATTCGAATACGCATTCTAGACTCATTGCAAAGCCTCGAAAAAGGTTACAAGACAGTAGAGAAAGTATGTCTGTTGCACAAACAAACACTTGGATGAATGGTGAGCTTTTATCATGGCAAATATTGATTTATATAAAAATATATATTTTTATATTTTTTTTAATATAACGAAAATGTTTGCGTTTAACATACGTCTATTAGTTGTAATTTTAAACAAAATGAAGTTTTCACTACTATTTTAATGTGTGAATGTGCGTACATTAGTATTAGTATTTTATTACTTTATTATCAGTTTTTGTAATGTTATAAATTGTATATATATCTATAAAAAATTAGACTGACATTCCAGTTACAGTAATTTACCATTTGTTCACAGCAGAAAACATTAACAATGGAGGTGGAATCTCAATGTCTCCACCCCTCACAATATCACAACGAGAAACAGGCACACAGGTGTCGCAGTGTTATAGTGGACCCCCTTCCCCATGCGGGTCTTCGAGCTCCGCGTCTTCGCCTACAGTCTCTCCCGCCCCTCCACCTGGCACTGCTACATTAGACCCAAATTGGCAAGCAACTAAGCCAACAGTTAGGGAAAGGAATGCAGCGATGTTCAACAATCAATTAATGGCTGATATCACATTTATTGTTGGCAGCCAAGGTAATTTATTTTTCTCCCATAAGTTTTTTAAGTGTAATACAAACGAATTCTGTTTGTATACTTTAATAATATACATGTAGTTTACATAGTAATTTAGAGCTAAAATTTACCCTTTCAGGTCACACACAAATTATTCCTGCTCATAAGTATGTATTGGCAACAGGCAGTTCAGTATTCTATGCTATGTTTTATGGAGGATTAGCTGAATGCAAACACGAAATTGAAGTACCAGATGTTGAACCATCTGCCTTTCTGACACTACTGAAGTAAGCATTAAACCTTGAAATTGTTACTAAGTGAAAAGTTTCTTGATATATAATATGAGAATATAAGACAAACCAAATTTTAAAATATCTTATATTTAATGAACAATCCTATTTCCTTTTTCAGATACTTATACTGTGATGAAATACAGTTAGAAGCAGATACTGTGTTGTCCACTTTATATGTTGCAAAAAAATACATTGTGCCGCACTTAGCTCGTGCCTGTGTAAACTATTTAGAAACAAGTCTTACAGCAAAGAATGCATGTCTTCTTCTAAGTCAATCGCGTTTATTTGAAGAGCCAGAACTAATGCAAAGATGTTGGGAAGTGATAGATGCACAGGTATGTGAGTCATCTGAAAATTTAGCAACCATTTGTCTTGAACCATCCTCATCTTTTAGTAGTCTATTAATGCTCTCTCAATCATCTAGTCAAAATTTTTCAAGTCCTGATTGTAAAGATACATCATCTGAAAATCCCTTTTTGTAATTAATTATATATTAACCTTACATTAATATTATTGTTCAATAATTGTATACTAAAAATTTTGGTTGTGATATGAAAATTATATTTATGGCAGTTTGACCAGAATTGATCCACATTTGTAACATGACATTCTTTTTTATTTAAAACCCTAGAATTTAGGTGAATAATTTGTAACACTAGTTATTACCTTAATAGTTAATTTACTGCAATACATTTTGTAAGTGGTTATTATTTGCATGATTAGTGTCAAGCATGTAATTGTTGTTGTTGTTGTCAGATGTGACCTTGTAACATTTGAATCTTTATACAAAGATCTGAATAAATCATTAAGCAAATTGTATTGCAGTTTTAATACACCTCATACCTTAATTAACATTAGTCAAATTTCATTATAGGCTGAGATGGCCCTTACATCAGAAGGATTTGTAGATATTGATGTCTCTACATTGGAATCTGTATTAGCGAGAGAAACATTGAATTGTAAAGAAATCAACCTTTTTGAAGCTGCTTTAGCATGGGCCCAGGCTGAATGTTTACGCCGCGATATGGACACCACACCTACCAACAAAAGAGCAATGCTGGGCACTGCAATATTTTTGATTAGATTCCCAACTATGTCATTAGAAGAGTTTGCAAACAGTGCAGCACAACTTGGCATCTTAACTCCCCAAGAGACAATAGATATATTTTTGCATTTCACTGCTGCAAACAAACCACAACTTTCATATCCTATAAAAGCCAGAGCTGGCCTGAAAGCACAGGTAAATCTCATAATATTCATGCTTTTATACAAATGCAAAAAAAATAAATTTCTTACAATTTTTATAATTTTCAGATATGTCACAGATTCCAGTCATGTGCATATCGCAGTAATCAATGGAGATATCGCGGCCGTTGTGACTCTATACAATTTTGTGTAGACAAAAGAATTTTTGTGGTTGGGTTTGGTCTGTATGGATCATCCAATGGTGCAGCTGACTATAATGTTAAAATTGAATTAAAGCGATTGGGCAGAGTGCTTGCAGAAAACAATACAAAATTTTTCTCTGATGGATCAAGTAACACTTTTCATGTTTATTTTGAAAATCCAATACAAATTGAACCTGAGTGTTTTTACACTGCATCAGCTATACTAGATGGCAGTGAACTTAGTTATTTTGGTCAAGAAGGTTTAAGTGAAGTGTATATGGGAACAGTGACATTTCAGTTCCATTGCTCATCAGAAAGCACCAATGGAACTGGGGTTCAAGGAGGACAAATACCTGAACTCATCTACTATGGACCCACAGTGAACACTGCTTTATCAAACACAAGTCCAAATGAGGACTGACAATTGAGCAAAAGATGATATCTCAATTATTACTGAGTATAGTTAAGTAGATTTAGAGCTCTTAACATAATTTGAAGAGACATTTTGAATACCTATTTATAAATATTACTAATCATTCCCAAATGTTAATTATTTTGTTGGATATTAAAAACTTGCATATATTGTTGATCTTGAATAGAAATTAAGTACCTAAAAATGTGATATAGGTGTTGTAAAAGCTCTCTATAAAACTCCTAGATATTAGGCTGATTCATTATAATTATTCATATGAAAATTCACCGCAATAAATAAACAAATTAATTTTATGTTAATTTATTACATGATCCATATCTTTGTAACCTTCCTATCTTCATTATCCAGATTAAGATTGTATCATGCAATTAAATAAAATAATAAAAAAAATTCTCCAAACTAATTAAGCATTTAATATGCTGCATTTTCAAGTAGTAAAAATACAAATATAACATACAGACAATAAGTACTATACAGAATAGTAAATGTTTATACTTGTTAAATATGCCCAATTAAAGCGTAAAATAAAAAGTTAAAAAAGACTAGCTACAGACTGCTACTGCATAGATTTACTACTTAAATTGCCATACTTCAATGGCCCATAAGCAACACAGACCCCTCATTGATAATTCATAAATGTCCACATGGGTGACTCTACTTAGTTGGATCTATCATCATCATCATCATCATTTTAGCCTGTTTGAGTCCACTGCTGAACATAGGCCTCGGTCATAGACTGCCACAAAGTATGATCCTGAGCCACCTGCATCTAAATTACCATTACTATCAAGTTCATCGAAATTAGCATTTCTATTGAGTCTTGCACCAAAAGAAGATTTATATAGTCTGGACTGAAAGTGAAAATAACAGTCACTAAAGAGCAATTATCACCACATCTAAGTTTTTTTTATTTGTACCAGATATTGGAAACTAAGTACATAAACTTACATTCATATTATTTTATTTGTATTATATTTCATATATTAATAATGTGGCTGATTTACAGTCCTCAAGAAAAATAATTCACTTTGTTATACCCATAATAAGTCAGTATTCATTTAAACATTTTCTGATTATTTCTATAAAAGGCAAAAGTGGATTTGTAAAAAATGTAAAATTATGCAATAATACAATTGTAACACAAACTTATTAATACAATATTTTACTGTTATTAATATATCTTTCTAACACAAACAGTTATTAGTACAATAACTATATATGTAAAGACTTACCAGTTGGTGGTATGTTGATACAGAGTGTACGTGACAACTTGAAGTAAGTGCGGCCAAGTTGATAACAGCATATTTGTAGTGCATCACTTATGTCAATTAAAAGATCTGGGCTAAGTTATTAAAGAAATTAAAAAAAATCTGAAATAATATTAATGGTTCAAAGTATTGATTAAATACAGGCTATTGTTATTCTAAGATAAATAAAAAGTATTCATTGAAAAATTAGTCATGATATTCACTAACTTTGTTTTGTTGCATGAAATACCTAGGGCAAAAGTGTAGTTGAAAAAGTTGGCCAATGTGATTTTCTATTCATTCAATTTTAACTATAATGTTGCAGTTAATAAATTAAATCCACCAACCAAGTATTCAGTTGTCGGAAGATCTAGTTAGGGTCATAAAATTTTGACTATAACCTTAATGGAATGAAAAAATTTATTTTTTTATTACATTAAATTAATACCTACATAATAAGGATATATGTAGGATGTAAAAATAATAAAAAAGTACCTTCTAGGGTCCTTCAGGGACCTTAAGTTCATTACAATTAATAGTGAATGAGCCTTAAATGGAGATAAAATTCATGAATATGTTCCTTGTCACACCTTGTAATATTACAACCTATGTTAACCAGATAAAAATATGTATAGATTTAATACAAACAAAAGCTCTCACTTCTTTTGACAGTAATAGGAGAGGGAGATAATTTTTTGATTTTTAGTTTTAGTCTGGACTCTAGATGAAACTGATATAATGAAAAAATGTTGACATTGCCAGGAATTCGAAACTAGGTCTTTGGGGTTGAAATTAGGAAGGTGAGAATATTAAAAAAATATTTCGGGCATATTTCTACACAACATCATCTAGTACCAAACTAACTGATAAACATGCTTAAAATTACTTTTCAATTGTAAATAAATGAATTTTTTTACAAATTTAATTTTTTCTTTTAAATCAAATGAAATTAAATCTTCTCCTTCATGCAAATACTGCAGAATGGATTTTAATGAAAATTTTCAATAATATAGTTTATACATTAGAATAAGACATAGGCTATAATTTATATACATATTTGTCTTTCTATTTGGATGTTATGCCTTCAGCCTATTCTACACATACATAGTCGCGGTAGCAGGTAGTTATAGGATAAATAGAAATAATAATTTGACATTCAATAAGAGCTTCAAATATGTTGAATAAAGAAATTTTGAGGACAATTTATTTTTCAAACTCACATATAAGGAAAAGTAGGGATAGCTAATAATATCTAAAATTTACTGAGCCTATTAATTAGTCACAAAAAACCGTCACGTAAACCATGTGCAAAGACAAATTGACGATTCTTGGTCTGCAAGAAATCCAAAAAGTATATGGTTCTTAAAACATTTTTTTACACTAAGAAGTATAATATTTAAGACGGTATGGCTGTGGCCCTAACCACTTAGACCACTTAACAGGTAAATATATGTATTAAACAATTTGAAATATTACCATATTTTATTCATATTAAAAGGATACGTGAAGTGCCTTCTGTTCTACATGTCATATACACACAGGCAGCTTGAGTATGACTTGCTGGGCGCCCAATGGTAAGATGTCGTGACAGCGCCATTTTGAAAAAATTGCATGCAATGTCAATACATTGCTGATTAAGACGTAATTGCTGACAAAGAGCAGTAATACCGTCTCTTGCCTTTCTTAATGTTAACTCTCTTGATTCTTGACCAATTCCTGCATTAAAAGCTAAAACAAGAAAATAAAATATTTGTATTTAATACCTTCTTCTGGTTTAAAGTAGTGTTTAGAGAAGCAAAAACTTGTAACATGACACATATTCTTACAGGATTATGCTTATCTTACACAAGTGTCAGGGATGATTGTTGTTAGCTGCAATTTGGAATTAATAATAATTCAGTAACTTTAATCTTCTTTTGAAAAAAATATTGATATCCTTTAAAAGGAGTTTAAAGAAACTTATGAGTGAATAAAACTGAGAGATGAATCTATCAAACAGATTCTATCACATTTGAAATTGATATCAAGAACACTACAGAATCTATGAGCATAGCATAGTTGCCTAAAAAAAATAAGTTATGTAAACATTAAAGAATTCGTTTCACTTAAATAATGAATAGATGAAATTATACCTCTCCCAAAACCAGAAGCGCCACCTTTCGATTCAGAGGATACGAATTGACCAATCGCTGAAGAACCACCATGTGCGTTTTCTTGAAAAGTTATCTCAGAAACTATTATGTTATCTTCTAAAACTGTGCCACAACTTGTGCATACTGCATCCCCACGAGCCGGGTCTACTTCTATTTCTGATGACCCACAATGTTTGCATTTACCAGACATTGTGATAAATAAGGGGTATAGTTAATTACACTAAATGATTTAATAAAATGTCATGCAGTGATTGGTGTTATAAAATTAACTTAGAATTGCATAGTGCATTGAACAATTGGTTTGTTTTTTGAACAAGAAAAGCAATCATCTGTTTATGTGCAGCAGCAAAATTTGGATCTGTTTTGACATTAAATTGACTTTGAGTAATGACAGTATTTGCTTCATTTTTTAAAGATTTTATGGCCTGGCAACAAGACCTTTAAGCCAGATAGTATTTGCTATTTTCGTTACGTCGAAAATCATATTTGCAATTCCTGTGTACGTGAAGAAACGTAAATACTGCTCTTCATATATTTATATGTTCGTTTACTTTTTTGTGTATTTAATTTTTTTCATATAATAGACTTTTGAAGCAAAAGTTATCCTATCATAGCCTGCGAGTGTACATTCCGTTCGAACATCTTTACTACAACTGACTTTGCTAAGTACTGAAGATTGATCTAAGGAATACTTTTAACTCTTTTGAACTACTTTGGTGAATGAAGTGGCTTACCATACACCGCATATTTAACAATATGTATGCGAAAAGACTAATTTACTTTATGAAGACAATATTACAGGTTCTGTCCGCTAGGACCAGTATTATTTAGTTTAGGAATTCATTCATTTATATCCGAATAGAAATCTAAACTTAATGCTTGGTACCTACTCGATGGTACATTGGGAGGTAAAGTTGAAGACGTAATAAAGTGAAAACGATTTTTATAATTCCAAACGTAAAATTTTCTCTTCTTAAAGATTTCTATTTCCAGTAACTTTATTTTTACCCAAAATTTTATCGCTATCACATCAGGAAATAACGTAGTGTGTACAAATTCAATTGACGTTTAGGTGCTCCTTTGCTAATATTATGAAATTTAAATATATATTTAGGGCACAAACTAAGCAACGCTTGTACTATGGGTACTAGATAACTGATAAAAATACTTAAACATACTTTTTTTTGTAAATAAACACATATTATACATATATAAACACCCACACACTGGAAAACACTATGTTCATATGTTTCCAGTAGTGGGGATTGAACCCACACCTTTCGGCGCAAGGGGCATGTTCACTACGCGATTCGGGTCGTCAATAAGTAATACCTCATATGGAACCTCTTTTGAAATTAATGTTCAAAAACTGTTGTTACTATATTTACTTATTACGCTTACCATTTTTAACTGACTTCAAAAAGAAGGAGGTTATTAAATCTGATGTTTGTATTTTTTATATATTATCGGACATCACTCCGTCATACCTGATGAATTTTTAAAATTAATTTTCTTTTGAAATTGTATCATTTCGAAATGGTCCCTTATAAATTTCACATATGTTCTGATGATGAAAATAAAAACAACATAAAATCGTATTTACACAATTAATACGCTGCTTTCGTTTTTTTTTTTCAGCAGTTTCGTTCTCAGCTGTGTGCATTGTAAGCGTCTACTGGTCTGATAGTGGGATAAATTCGATCTGCCACTCCATCGGCAAAATCTTACAACAGGATTCCTTGACGCTCGAAAAGTATTTCAAGTTGAGCTGTTGTCAAATATTTGTAAATAAACTTATAATTGTAAATAAACTTATAGCCAAACGAGTGCGATTTAATCTAAGACAATTGTAATATTCGTCATTTAACTTGCGTAATGTAGGATCTTTTTTTAACAATCTATTTTCGCGCTGGTCGGCCTGACCATCTCATTTGAAATGGCTATAGATTTTCTTACTTTTTTGCTTTTAATAATATTTTTAATAAAATATTTTTTTTCCTTTTTCAGATCCGGTTTTAGTTTGACGCTGTTTTCTCATAAGAGCAGCTTCTTTGTTTGCTAGTTCTACCTATTTTATAATATTACCTATTTATGAAAAGTTGCCAAACGAGCATACGGTTCACCTGATGGTAAGTAAAAACCGCCGCCAGATGCGTTGACAACCTTGTGAAAATTGGACTCCGGTCACCTCACTTACCAGACGAAACGCGAAAGTATATGTCATACTTGCACTTTACGCTGGTCTTCTGTGAGGTCGTGGTACTTACCCGGATGGGTCTGCCCAATCGTGCAACAGCCGAGGCTGCGTGACCCTACCACCGTGATCATATATCACTAAAATATATCATCATAAATCACTAAAAATAAAAAAAATAAAAGCTTTTTAACAATAAAATAACTTACTTTAAGTAACTGTGCCTTTGTTAACCATGGGTAATGGTTGTACACCGTGCTAAAAGTAGAAATAAGCCACAATTAATTATGCTGATATTAATAAATGATATCTGATAATTATAGCTGCTGATATTAATAGCTGATATCTAATAAATAGGTTAAAAGATATTTAAAATGATGTATTTAATTAGGTAGATATCTAATCCACCTAAATTTTGTAACAAAGCTAGAGGATGATTTTATGCTCAGACCAGAGATACTTGGCTTGGCACCGATTCCAAAAATTGTTAAATTTTGTTAACGCTATCGAGCGCTCATTTATTTTTCATAATTTTATTCTCTAGGGGTACTTCAGTTATGACCAGTGCAACATCAAAGTCAGCTAAAGTAAGTGGCACAAGTATGAGTCATTTTGTTCAGATTATGTATTTGTCCCATTAATTGCTATTGGAATTTTAGCATCTCCATATCCTCCGATTCGCACATCAAAATTTGAAAATTACTTTCTAGAATTATCACCATGGTCGGTTTCAAGAGGGTAGGGGATCTTTCCTCGTTCGAAGTTTAAGCATCCTATTCAGCATACATAACATCTAATGTAGTTACAACATTTAATATTCTAGGTTTTTTAAATAACTATCTGGCCCGGCAAACGTTGTTTAGCCATTATTTTAAATTTTCTCAAAAATTAAAAAAACATTTAGGGTGAGCCCCCTTTAACTTTTAGGCATAAAAATTAGTTATACCTACTAGATATAAATGTAAAATTTCATAAAAACTAACACATTAAATAAACTTAATGAATGTTTATTTACCTTACATATAAATAAGATTTTCACCAGGTTTGTTTTTAAAAATACATTTATTCTCAAATATTTTTACTGAAACATTTCTTTAATATAATCCTGCAATTGTTTATAATAATTAAAGGTTTCATCACTTACCATACCGTCTAAATGGTAGGGTGGTGAAAGTGATATTATGTTCAAGATATAAAGTAATGAAAAGAAAGATAACATTTTCTAAACACCAGTGTCGTGTTGTCGTAATTTTTATTATTATATTGTATGATATAAAAATCAAAATATTAAATACAGTTCAAAGAGTATTTATGTGTTAATTTGTTGTGTAGGTGCATATATAGCTTTCATATACAAGTTCTTTCTCTTTTTATTCCATCTATCGTGTTCACTCTTGCTTATAAGCAGGTTAGTCACAAAGGATGACGTCAATAAAATGGATCGCTATCATTGGCTGCGTATCACGTCATGATACTAATAATAGCAGATGAGATCACCCTTCAAATTGTTTCGACCGAAGAAGGATGGCATATCTGAAAAGTATGTTCACTTAGCTTAAAAGTGGGCGGTTAGGACATTTCGTAATACTGAAGCAACAAATTCTTAGGAGAAGGGCATCCCCAAAGCGAAGTCGACGTCACCGTGCAAACTGCACTGATGAGTCATCATTGTTGTGTTCTCGTTCGTGGATAATTTCTTTGACGCGCTTTATTTTGTTGTTGTTCTGTCATTATTAGACCTGTCAAATCTGTGAAACTTTGTAGTGTTTAATAGCTTTTTTACACGGTTTAACGTCTACACGATAAAACAGTGTACAATTACGTAAACTATCCCTGCGTGCTTGTGTTTGTATTTTAAATTGACAAGAACTTGAACTGATGACGATGAAGCTGGAAGTAAGTGATAGTCAGTCGAATCATTCGGACTTTTCCTGTGATAGTCAATCATCTCAGGGCTCCTCTACCAATGATTTCATAGCATCTGTGCCAACATCTAGATCCCTACTCACAGTAAGTAACCTTAAGGTCATTTAATTTTTTTATTTCAGTGAACGCTTGCCTGGTCAAAATAATTTACTTTCTGCCTATTATTTTGGTTTTATGAAGCGTAATTTAAGTTGATAATATATTACAGTTTATAATACAGTTTTCATTTTAAAAACATGATCATATATATGTAGTATGGAAAGATAATTAGTAATAACTACCATTTTAATAAAACATGATATTATGCTGTTATGTAAATTATTG